AACAAACTCAAACTTGTTAGGACAATGTCCGCAATGCGGTCGCCCGTCTCCTGGTCATAGAAGAGATGATATTCTTTCATAATTGGCGTCATCAGGAAATTCCTTGCTTTTTCTCGAACATGATGATCCCTTTTCGTATCCATTGGAAATAAAAATTAGGAGGAAAGTCAGTGAATCTCGAGCGGGTGCAGCTGTTGCTCATGAAACTCATAATACAACTGTTGCGAGATGTATGCCCGCTACTTACTTGACTTGTTATTCTGTTACGGTTGAGTGATCACGTACGATAATGGTTTATACGCACTTTTTACGTGATATACGGAGCTTTGGTGTTACTCGGTAGAAGTATGTTTTATCAACTGTTTGCATCGGATTTCAGAGTTCACTTACTTTGACTTCAACATATTTAGCAGTACTATTTGCGAAAAAAAATAAATTGCAAAATATGCTGAGCCATAGAGATCCACATTGTGAATGGTTTCGTTTTAGGGCAACCAGTTGGTTCGGGCAGTCGTCAGTACAATAATGGCTATCTCCGCGGAAATTATAACAACTACGGCGGACAGCGTCCACGTAACAACCAAAGTGTCGGAGTTCCTCGTCCTCGCGAAAAACTGAAGTTTGACGGAGATTACGATTTTGAGAAGGCCAACGAGCAGTTCCAGGAACAATTCTCTGATATGTTCAAAGATAAACTGAAGGTGCTTTTGAGTTGCAATGTTGTAGCAATATGTGCCATTCTTTCTTTCAGGTAGATGGAGAGAAAAGCGAAGAAGAGCAAGGAGAGAAGCCGGCTGAAGATACTTATTACGACAAGAAAAGTTCTTTCTTCGACCGCATCAGTTGCGAAGCCTTGGAAAAAGCTGAAGGGAAGAGTGGACGTCCGGATTGGAAAAAGGAAAGGGAAACAAACCAAGAAACGTTTGGTCATTCTGCTGTACGCTCCTTGAATTATCGTCGGGGATTCGGACAACGGGCACGTGGAGGACGTGGCTATGGAAGTATGTTTGAGTTTTGTTTTCTCCCATACCGCTTTTTGAGCATGGATTATCTCTAGGACCCGGTGATGGACGTTACATCAATAATTTTAATCGAGGTTATAACAACTATCGCGGTGGGTATGGTAACGGCAATGCGAATCATCGCGGACGAGGTTTCAACAGAGGTGGATATCAACAGAATCAACAGCAGTAAAAAATTCACTTGATGAGGAAAGCGTCTTCTTTGCTTCTTCGTAATGTAGAAATCTTTTTCTTGTCTTTCACACATCTTGCAAGATGGAGCTTTTTGGCTACTTTCTGTATCAAGTAAGTTCCGACTGTGTGACTCTGTTAAA